CATCAAGAATTCGCCAACTCGATGAAAAAGTTCATGCTAACACTTTCGGAAGTATCGACGGTTGTTAACAATTCCGGTTTTTCCCAAGTTGGGTCGACATGTACCACAGAATGCCACGTGGCGCATAAAAGACGAGTTTGGTTGCATCCGACGGTTCCTCGCGCGCCAGTGTCCTTTGGAGGTCACGTACTGGGCTGCCCGACACACCATAGGCTGTTGATTCTGCACACAACGGTATTGGTAGTCCTCAAAAACCGGCTGGAAGGATCAAGGCAGAGGCAGAGGGTTCTCACTTTGCATTTGATCGACTGTGGGGTTTGTGACGCCCATGTTGAGGAAGAGTTGTTGGTCTGCATTCACAGAGGCTTCACAGCAGAAAGGCAAACATGAACCCCCTTCTTGCGGCGCAGGCGCTGGCGCTGAGGAATTCGTCTGACATGTCAGATGGCCAGATCCTTGAGTCTCTGGGAGGAGTTGACACACTGGGCATTCAGAGCTACACAGCACTCCTGGCTCTCCTCCAACACACTCCCAGGGCAGGTGTGGTTTATCAGCACCTAGGGCAGGCTCTTAATCCATTTGGCTTGAGCCCAGGGTTTCAAGCTACTTCCTATCAGTCGAGGCAAGTCTTTTCTCCTCCTCAAACTCACGCAATCCTAAACACCCCTCAGTTCACGCCACTTCTAGCAGATGTGAGCACAAACTTCCTTCCCAGGCCAGCCCCCCCATTCACCAGCACACTCACCCCTCAGCTAGCAGAGATGAGCACTGTTTCTACACAACCCCGGCCAGCACCCCCACAAGCGGTTGGTGGGAGTGGCAGTCTGTCCACCCCTGGACTGGATCACATGTCTGGGGAGAAACTTACAGAGCGGGTGCAAGAGTCTCTCAGAGGTGCGTGATATTGTACTTGCTCTGTGCTTGCTTGACAGATGATGCGTTGCTGTCTCAGGTTGCCAGCTTGCAGAATGCATCTGCCTACTTGACACCACACTGTTGACGTGGTATCGCATTGAACCTCACACGTGTCTCGAAGGTGAAACAGATATATCGAGTTCTCAAGAACAGATACATTACAGATGGCCTTGCATTTGAGGCAAGGTGTTCAAAGGAAGGAGCGCTGAAGTAGAGCAGGCACCCCTTGAAGGTACAGTCCTATCTGTCCTGAGTCCAATGTCTGATGCATGCAGAAGATAAAGAATGCTCAGAATGTACAGGACAGAGGGCAGCATGTACAGGGCATCAGAGTGTAGCAGGGGGGTAGCAGATTGCAGCAGGGGAACACCAGAGTGCAGCAGGGGGGCAGGGGGTAGAATGCAGGAGAGTGCAGCAGGGGGGCAGCAGATTGCAGAGTTCACAGCAATAAATAATGCTTACCGCCCGATGAAGTTTAGATCTTCGGAATCCTTTTTCTTGTTCCCGTCTTTCTTGCGCAGCTTCACTTTCTTGCACCCCAGTTTGGTAGCCTTGATGAAGCGATTGAGTGCCTCTACTTTTGGCTCAATGTCCAGGTTGGCAATGATGGTCCTCTTGAAGACCATCGCTATCAAGCGGAGGAGCGTGTGGAGGATACAGAGGTAGAGGAAGACGAGTTTGATGTCGAAGAGAGGGGGACATCCAAACTTCTGGCCGGCGTGCTTGAGCTGGTAAGCTGCTTTCTGCGCTTTCGTAGTTGGGCCAACTGAAGCGTCTACGGCAGCCTGGTCTGGGAATGGCTCGTTACAGAAGGGGCATTTGACTTCTGGCCCGGTGTGTAGGGGGCGATGGTCAGCTGCTGCCATCTCCTCTAAGGTTCTGGCCTTCGCATGCATTGGCCCCCGTCGCCCCTCTGCGTCGGTAATGATGGTTCCGTAATCCTTCTTGTGCATTTTGCAGAATACACACCCCTGTGTGCATGAGTGCCCAGCATGCCCCAACACCTCAGCTAGGAGTACATAGTCAGCTCCCATTGTCTGCTTTATGACAAAGTGGACGCCATCGACATCCAGCCCTAAGGCTGTCAGCTCCTTCATAACATTCAGGAAGGGCCCAAGATACTCCTTGTAGTTGTCGTAATTGTCCTTTCCCTCGAAGAGCAGAATGCACCTCATGTTTTGAGGTGCTTGAGCGCAGACCTGACCATTGCTAACAAACTTGAAGCCAAACTTTGAGTGTTTTATTCCCCTCAGAATGCCTGCAGCATCTCCGCCCCAGTGGATCCAAGCTTGCATAACCAGTTGGTCCACTTCACTCTGCAGGTACCCATTTCTACGCTCATCTCGAAGCCCTTCTTCTACCACCTTGCGGAGCTCAAGCCAGCAAGCAGTCCTTGCCTCGTCCTGAATGAGAGGGATAACCGCAGCTATTTCTGCCCGGAGCTCGGTGACCTGGTTCTTGGATTTGAACTTAGGTATGAAAACTCCGCTCCCTTTCTCAAAAAGTTCTTTGTGCACCCATTCCTTCTTTGTCTCGCTGTAATCTTTCGCTGCGATGTTAATCAGATGCTGGAACTTCTCGCCAGCTCGTATCTTGCAGTGAATCTGAAGAGTAAGACACTTCTCAAGGGTCCAGTACTCCTCAATCTGAGTAATGACCTCCCGGCGGATAGGAAGGACCCACTCAGGATTGTCTTTACAGATGGTTTTGAAATCTGTGAGGGTAATGCCGTGTGTCTTCACTTCTTGGTACAATGTAGGGTTTCTGAGACAGTGTTCAAAGATTGCTTGCTTCGTGGCAGCAACTGTGGCGTATTTGCTTTCTAAGAAGGATCCCAGTTCAGATGCCAATCTCCTTTGAGTGGGAGCAGAAGTTCCTCCTTGGAGAGGCCTAGGTTGAACTCGCTCAGCCACTCCTTTCAAGCGTAATCTCAGCCGAAGTGAAACAAGTTGGCTGTTTTTCTTGTCAATGATGTCTTGAAGGTTCTGCAGTCGTTGGGATTGCTCTTTCAATAAGGCTGCTGCTGCAATCCTGGTTTCTTCGATATACTTGTCAAACCTGGCCTGAATCACTTCCTCACTCCTTTCTGCACGTTCTGCAGGTGTTTGTGGAGCAAGTTGTGTGCCTCCCGTCTTCTTGAATTTTCGATCTTTTCGAGGCTTAGCAGCAGTCACTTTGTGATTCTGGTAAAGGTTGTAGTTTGATAATGGTTAAATGTTCTTCTCAAAGATTGCCTCCGGATTTGCATACATTTTTCTGATCGAATGAATTATAAGAGCATGGTGCATATGATCAGAATATGTCATGAGCATTGTTATAGTCCATTGTAAGAGTTGCATTGTCATTCCCTTTAGTGAATCTGAAATGTCATGAGATTCACACATATGCATACAATACATTGAATGTGCAACATGAAAAATATGAATTTGTGTATGCCTATGTAACTTGCATTGATGTGATGATAGTCAAATTGCAAGGTTCAATTGTTGCATCACTGTAAGTTTCTAGCTACTTGTCTGAATGTTTCTCAGAACTAGGTAACACATTACTGTCGTCCATTTTAACGAGACGCGCCACAATGGTCTCTACAATGCGCCCATTTTTGGTGAGGCACATTGTCGGAACAACCTCCGCTTGTGCAATCTCCTTGTAAACAGCTCTATTCATTGTGCACTGGATGCAAGGAGATGGAACACTTGCATATTTGCTGGCTTTAAAGCTTCGATCCATGTTGACAAGCGCCCTATAATTATTCTGCAAGCAAGATTAACAGTGTTCGAATGCAATTGAAGTTCCAAGCTGCTCGAGCCTAAGTAAGACTGGACACCATTACCATGCTGAACCGGCGTTACCACACTGAGACTGTCGACTGCATTCTCGATTGCAATTCTAAAACCGGTCGCGCGCCCGAGAACCGGGTAAGGCTGATCGTACGTAAAATTTCAGTCCGCAGTCCGGCGCTGCGTTAACTTTTCGACGATAAATTTTACGGACTTTATCGAATTTCCGAAGTTTATCGATGAATTCTGCCGACGGTGACCGTCCGGTTTTCATCCGGACGCGCGTCCGGGCTGGTTGTGAATTGTAGTTTCTTCCAAAAACCGGTTCGATTACTCGCCTTGATCAGCCTACATTCAATCGTGACCGTTGACGAGATTCATGTGCAGAAATGCCCCGCTGTGATAAAAACGTGCTTTCTTTCCAAGGCTTTGTTGGCGCACTGCTGAGGAAATTGAAATAGCTCATGTGGCGGTCGCATTATTTGCCAAGCTCATATAAAGTATAGCCATAGCTAGTAGGTACCACATGTGTAGACTGCGCGCTATACTTGACAAGATCAATGGCTCAAAAGGCCTCAACCGGCAACATAGATTCAACAACTAGACTGAAAAGTGCCGGGTACTGAATGGAATGCATGACTCGGAGGCAGTGAGTCAAAGCACTAGGCCACCCGCTATGTCAAAGATCCTCTAGGAGGATAATTGCAAGCTCGTTTGTAATATATACGTGCAAATCATTTAGAACGATCTCGGATCGCATAATTGCACATATGTATCGTTTGTTAAATCCGGACTTGCACGAAGGACCAGAGTTCATTTCGTATTGCCTTTGTAGAGTTGGTTAACGTGTACACAATCGGAGCAAAGGCCGGCCACATGCGTCGCGATGAGGGTTTTTGATGATGCACTTACATAAGCCTTTTTGGAACCTACGCATGCCGCGGAATTGCCCATGGCAACAAAGGATAGCACCATCCTTAACCACGAGTATCTCTCACATCTTTTTATATCAAGATACAATGAAAAACAAGCTTGCTCAGTCGAAGGCCCAATTTCACCGCAAGCTAGCAGCGACTCAAGGCAACCTCCGGGGCTCACAGGTGATTTCCAAAGAGTACTGCGAGATCGCCTTCTTGATCGCAACCGATCCTGGTCCGGCGATGGGCACTCCTTTGAAGTGAGGGAATGTGTCCGAAGGGACGACAAAGTACAACTTCACCGCCCCACTTTGGTCCCCGGCCCCGTCCGCCCCACTTTGGTCCGTGGCCCCATCCGCCGCATCTTGCAAGACACCTTTCTTCAAGCTCGTGATAGCCGTCTTCAGCCCAGCCAACTGCATTGGCCTTGCCTCTGAGAACCCCTTCTTCCGATTCGCCACAGTCACTTGAAACAGTTTGTCCGGCTGCATGCCTGAATCCACTGCCGGCTTAGTGCCACTCACAGGCCTGAAATACCTCCCATCTTCCAGCTCCTCCACCTCCTTCCACTTAGTGAACTCGAACGTACTTGATGTCGGTGGGAGCGTAACGGCCCCTTCATCACCGGTCGCCAGATTCCGGGTTCTGAACTCCCCCCCTTCTGCCATTTTTTCGTGAACGTAGCTCTCCCACAAAAGGCCGCGCAACCCTGCAACCCTCGTATCCCCTGCAGACGCCACGAGAAAGCGGCGGAGTTTACCCTCGTCTTGTCTCGCAAGCCGCTTCACCACCGCGTCCGAAACGTAGTCCGAGGCTGGCTCCATCCAGGTGGTCATGAAGTCAGGCCCCGCCCTCAAGTGGAGGACCTTATGCGAGGCAGCGTCAGGCGCGGCGGTTGCTTTGACGGCTTGCACGAGGAGATCGAAGTCCTGGGCATCGATGGCCTTCTCCAGCAGGCCCTGCTCCCTCTCGCCCACCTTCTCCACAACGTAGCGCGGAATGCCACCCCACCTGCACAGGGACCAAGCAAGCAAGTGAGGCGCAGCAAGTGAGGCGCAGCAAGTGAGGCGGTGAGGCTGGTGCGGCCAATCTTCTCTTAGGCCCAACTCGTCATGAATGCACTTACAGGGACGGCTGCAAGTCAGGTGGACGATCTTGATGACACTGCAGGTCAATGTGCTTGCTTCAAACATCGCTGGAGTCGCGGAGCCGTACCGGTGGTATCGCCCAAGCACGTCCTCAATCGGCTTCTCCGGATGGATTCTCTCGCTGCACTCGGCCAGCTCGGGCCACGCCCACACGTCCATGTACAGCCGGGTGTATCCTTTCCTCTTCCAGACCTCCTGCCACAGGAGCGCATGATAATGATGCTTTTTACAAGGGTCCAACTAGTGGACGCCGGGGATTGGGATGATTCCACCAAACGGCCATGACAACGAAACAACCATGCCGGCGAGAACGAGCGTCAATGGCAGGACGGGTGCAAGTGCAGCTGCGTTCTCGGTCTGGAGAGACGTGCAGAATCTAAGCAGGCCTTACTTGGTAGACGTCCGGATTGGGGGAGGTAATCAGGACCATCCTCGCCCCATTCGGCAGCGAGCCAACTGTCGACGGGTCGAGGCCATCCACCAGGTACCTGTGAACAAGTGGCTTGATAAGCCCTTCAATCGTTGAGGAAGCAGCCGAAGCACAACCCATGATGCATGCGCTGGCATGGCTGCCGGGTTCGCTCGACTGCACAAAGCGCAGGCCTTCATTTTCAAACGAGGGGCTTAGGGACTTCGGGGGCCGGTCGGACCATCTTGACCAACACAGTTGAGAATGCACGGACTGGATATGCGACTTACCGCACGTCAGGGTTGTCCAGCTCTTTTCGGAGAGCCACACGATCCAGCTCATACGCACCGTCTACCGTAAGAAGCACCGGCGTGGGGCAGTCGCCCCTCTTGACGACGACGACACGCCGCCCCTCGCACGCCCACCGGTGCAAGAGCTTGTAACCAAAGATGGATTTTCCAATGCCTGCACAGCAGCAAACCGATTTCGCCCATTTCGGGACCTCAGGGCCATCTCTCAGAGCAATCAGCAAGCCAATCTGTGGTCTTCAATGTGCAAGCATGTGATTAGGTCTAACGGGGAAGGAGGGAAAAACGAATCTTGCTGACCTGGGTTGCCTAAGATCGCCACTGCCTCAACGTCCCCTTCACTGCTCGTCCCAGCAAAGAGCTGATCCAGCAACCTATCCAGTGGGCCATAGCAGTCGCAGTTGAACAGCTTGTTGCCGAGCGCCTTGGATCCAAGAAAGCTTGTCCCGTCCGCAAGGGTCATGATTCTCCCGTCATCAGACCACGTCGCACGCGGCAACGCCAGCCAGAAGTCTCTGAGCGACTCTTTTGCACCTGCACACAATTGAAGTCTTTTTCTTTTGAGTGAGTGCTTGAGACTGCCTAGACAAGGCCCAGCTCAACCTGCTTTCAGCCAGCGACAGGAGCAACTGCTTGCACTCGATTTGAGGATTTGTGTTGGAGGCCACTTTTGGGCATCTACGAAAAGAAGTGCATACATCAATGAAGCTTTTCAGAGCCAGGAGCAAGCCTCCTACTGAGGTTCTCGGGTCCGCTAGAACTGCCAAGTCATTCTTGTCGCACGATGAACTGGCACCCTGCCAATGCAAACGAGCCTGTCCGCATAAGCTCACCCAGGACATTATTTATGAGCAAGAAATTCTCGGCTGCCCTGCTCCACTCTGGAAAGACATGCTCACTCGGGCAAGCAGAAATATCTTTGTACGAGAAGGAGTAGCAGAAAGAACTTTGTGTTTCCAGCTTCCTCCACTATGGTCCGCATCAAAAACCACACCCACCATGAAAGCAGCTGCAATCGCACCGTTTTGTTGCCAAGCAGTCTGGTAATCTCGAGCAGCTTAACAACAGAAGGCATGCAAAAAGACTCCAATCGAGCACCCAAAACGGCGGAAGTCTATGTGCAAAAGTAACCTGCCAAAAGATGACTTCAATCTGACTTGAACTTCCCTTCCAAACTGAGAGGCCAAAGGAAGTGACTTACTGGGGCCCACAATTCCTGCAGCACTCAAGCCTGCACGCAAGATGAAAGTTGTGTTTCAGCACTCATGAGTGACGGCACTCAAAAGTCTGCTACTGTGGTCCTGATGCTAAAAGCTGACCTGTGCGCCGTGTTGCACTCGAGTAGGATGAAAGGAGCATCAGCAGAGTCTCTTCTCAAATTCTCTTCTCATGCTGAGCATACATTGGCATTAAAGCAGAGACTGGCTGACAGGGGCCATACCCTGCAAAGGGTGTGTCAAATATCATGGGCAGAACCATGTCCCAGGGGCTCATTTTTCCCAGACTTCAAAGCAAGCTTCTGAAACAGCCCGTCCAGAAGCAGGATTAATGTAAAGAAGGCCTGCTTTGGACCAGTAGCTCTGATACTGATGGGAAGAACACGTTGCGTGGCATGAACTGCAAACAAAGCCAGATACAAAACCCTCCTTGGCGTGTGCCCCGGCGCTCTCTTGAGAAACATCGGCGAGCAGCAGGACCAATCCCTGCAGCACAAGATTGACAGCAGAACGCTGCTCATGATCATTCCCATCTGTGCGCTGGTTTGCAGGGCTGCTCCAAGGTGAAGATCTCTGCACAAGACAGCACAAGACAGCTCTCCATGCGCCAGACGACGGAAGACATACCTGGGGTCTGCTGCAGCTTCAGCTTTTCCACCTCCACCTGCGCGAGCGCAGTCAGTCGCTGCTCCAGCACGGCCTTCTGCTGCTCCAGCGAGGCCTTCTGCTGCTCCATCGAGACCAGTCTTTGCTCCAACAAATCTGTGCTCTTGCCATTAGCCGCAGCCGCAGCCGCAGCAGCAGCCACAGCATCGATCTGCTTCTCCAGACGTTCGATTCTCTTCTCCGCACGCTCAACACTCGACTTGAGAGCCTGGGCCTCTTCCTTGAGCTCTGCCACCTGAGGCTTAATGTCATCCCCATTAGAACTTCCGGTAGACTCTGCTCTTCCCCGGGGGGTCTCTGCCCTCGGCGAGAGGCGCCTCAGTCCTGACCCCACCCTGTACTCGGAGTGGAACCGGCCCAGCCTCGATCCCTCAAACAGAGGGCGAGGAAGTGCCCTGAAAGCGAATCGATGGGGAGTTGCGCGGGCGATGTCTGCATGCCCGCACGAAAACGAAGCCTTCGCCCCGGCCGCCTTGAGGAGCACTGCAGCAGACGCCATAGAACCTCACCAGCAAGAGACCAGTGAATGCAGCGCTTGAGCCCTTCCAACCTGCCACTCAGCCATCGCACTTGACTTCGACCACGATGTTGGTCGCAGAAGCTGAGGCCCAGAAGGGGGCTAGATTCAGGGGTGCCAAGCGTCGATATGCCCGATTCAGGGGGTCAACCTTTCTCACAGTGGGCGAGCTTTTTCAGGACGAATCAAGCGACAATGGAGCGACCATTTTAAGGTGAAAATTTCCGGGAGGTTCTGTGCTCGTCTATGATGTTGTGCCCAGGAAAATCACGAATCTCCTCTGTGGCGGCCATCCTGCTTCGAGAGTAACCTTTCCACTCTGGCCTTTGCTCATGCAATGGCACTAAGTATCCCAAAGCTCTGGCGGGAGTTCTCTACTTGCGTCTCTCGTTGCTGGAAAATTCTTGCACTGCCCTCCAAGGGCTAACTTGAAACCAGAAGGTACTGAAGTGAGGAGGTTTGATGAGATACATTCCCTGTCATGGTCTTATTACATACATATTCCCAACACTCCATCCCAAATGGAAAACCCCTATATCATATCTGTTGTCTTTTTCTACGCCGAATAGGCTGACTCGTACGGATATATTACACTCGTTACGGCAGACTCGCCGATACGTGGCGTTCTCTGAGCGAATACGTGGTGCAATTTCAACTCTCAGCAAAATACGTGGTGCACTCTGAGCAAATACGTGGTGCACTCGCGCAATATTCAGTCTGTGACTGTACACAAGTTCACTGAATCGCGGGTATATAAGGCGAACGCGAATCTTCCGAAACTTGATTCCGACTCGGTCATAATAGCTAGATTTGAACGTCCCGAGTCCGACCGACCCCGCCTGCGCAGCCCCGGCCATCGGCGAGTACCGTCCATACCTACATTCTGAGCGACTCAGGCTGGCATGACGGGGGTGTACCAGGCCAAGTCACCGGGTGAAGGTTTTTGCCCGACTTCGTGGAATCATGTTGCCACAGGGAAATTCATCATCGATCCAAGGCTGCTCATAGTCGACTCCACTGCCTTCAAGTGTTCAATATGCATTGAAGCAGTCTCTCTTGAGCTCCAAAAACGGAACCTGCAAGATCTCCTTTAGAAAATCACAGCAAGCAAACCTCAGCGGCTTTGCTGTCTCCACCAAGGTAAAGGGAAGCGGCAAAAATCAGCCTGTGTGCCTTGCCTGCATAGAGCGCTGGGTGGGAACAGTCACGGTCACAAAGACCGTGGTCGGCGTTCTGCCAGCTGGATGGGTGGGTCCGCCAGAGGTTTGGTTCGACCGCACCCAGCATACCGACCCATGGCGCCAGCGGAAAATTCTACTGGGAGAAGAGGTGATGCGGCTGCAGATGATGGATGCCAAGAGCAGGGAAGCAACAGGCGGGTTGTGCAGCAAGTCTGCAGCCGAGGCTGCTCTGAACCGGGGCGCCAGGCAGGAGAGATCCCGCGGAAGCTCCCACAGGCGGTGAGTATCTGTATTGGCAGAGGGCGTTGTAGCTGCTCTAGTATTCGCTAGTTGAATCGAGCGATAGTTTTACTTGAAGAATCAATGCTGTTTGTAGATGCTATGCAAGAGTATGTACCGGGGTGTCCAATGCTGATTGCGCGTGCGAATTTGAAGAGCGCAAACAAATGGAACATGGCTTTATGTCTTGCCAGCAATTCAGCTGGTCGTCAATTGGGCCTTCTGAATACCTAAGTCAATGTCCTTGCTGCTTAGAAAACCACGTGCTCTGTTGAGAGTAGAAGCATGTGATGAATTGACGTCTCTGTTTCATTGCCGTTGATTTAAAGGTTGGCAACGTTACCACCTGAGGTGGTACATTTGAGGGATTGGTTGTATGATCTGTCAAATATCATGACCACATGTATTTATCGACACTGATTAAACCACGCACGCGCAAGTGGCGCATCCACCATAGCCTGCAACTTTTTCTGGTCAAATCATGTTTTGGAGCTGCGGATACACAAGCTCTTATTCTATTGCGGGTCAGTTTGACATTGGCAGCTGACTGTAGTTGCTGCAATGCACTATGTAGACCGCAGATTGACCTGTGAACTTTGCTCAGTCCTGAACATTTACACTTGCAGAGCACTCAATACTCATTGACAAGGTTTCCGCAAGCAACATCACTGGAGTATAATCTATTGGGCAACACTTTGGCAATCGACTAACCATGGTCTTTTATCTCTTTGTAGGCTTGCTGCAAAGCAGAAGAGGCCCGGGATGCAGATGGGCAGCTCATGCTTGCCGCTCAAGCTGCACGGTTTCAATGCCAGTCTCGCAACGGGCAAATGCTCTATCTACAGCGTTGGCGAGGAGGGTTCTAGCAACTCTGTGTTCTTGATGACTGCTTGGAACCACAATTCTGCCAGGCCAAAGCCTCTGGGGCGGCCCACCAAGAGCAATGCCTTGCTCGAGACGGTCTACTGGGACACGACGGGAAACCCGAGTTGCACCTGCGATCGTGGCCGTTTGAGCTTTGGTGCAGCTTGCGTTCACAAATTGGCCTTGCAAGCGCTCCAGGAACGTCGGCAATCGAGCCATGTCTCATCGTCGGACTAACTGTGGCGCCCCGAAATCCTACCGAAACACCTCGGATACCTATCCCGAGAGCGGCCCACTCTTGCACGGGATGATTCCGGGACCCAAGACCTCACGCACGGGACCATTCCGGGACCCTCGTTATCGCGTACGCAACAATTGTCGCCGGCTGACACCGGTTTCGGCACATAGATCGGTTACAGCCGGGCAGATGGGCAGCCGGCCGATGGTGTTCGGGCAACCCCGGTATGCGGGTGACCTTAACGCTGTAGCTTGTGTACGGGCGACCGGTAACCGTTACGGTAGTCCCCACCGTGGCCGCAGGGCACAGGCTCTCAAATCATCGCAACTATTAGCGCCCAGTCTCGGTTCACAGATGGGTAGGTTTTACATCGAAGCCTACCCTAGTACAGTACAGTAGCACTGAGCTGTGAGTAGCAGTAGCACACTGGCTGTGACAATGGTGCCTGTCAACACGTCTTGATGAGTCTTGAAAGATCACAAAGGCAACTGGAGGCTCGGCACTTCATCGAGGTTCATGAGCAAGAAGTCAAAAATGCTCAAGCTCCTCCGTTAACAGGCTTCATTCAAGGCTAAACTCCAATGTATCTTGCTCTAAAAGCTTTGCCCTATTCTTGCTAGATCAGTAAGGCTCAGAGTCCTTTCTTCTCTCAAGCTACAGATTCTAGCGCAGCAATGGCGTCAGGAAGCGTACTTTGCTCAGCCTCGCCCAGTGGCCCGGCAGTTGCCGCAAAAGATGATCCTAACAAAGAAATAGGCTTCATGCTGCGGAACCATCTCAAGGTGCACATTATTGGGGGGCATTCTTTCAACGTCTGTTGGCTGGGTCCAGCCCAAGTCTCGGGAAAATACCGGAAGAGAACAGGGGTGGCATGCGTCACAATCTGTTTCGAATTTCTGAAACAGATGCAAGAGGCGGGCATTACCTGCATGCAGCAGCTGGTCTATGCAGTCACCTCAGGAAAGATCATGGAAGAAGCAATAGAGGCAACAGCAAAGGCGAGAAAAGCAGCTCATCGGGACTATCAGGTGATACCCGATGCCTTCGAGCGTTATAAGAATGTGCTAGAAAAGGACGGGGAAAAAGAACAGTGGGGCTCTCTCATTGATACTCTCACTTTGTACCCCTTCCCTCAAGCGGGTCAGGAAGGAACCATCTATGAGTACCTCCCAAACCTGATTGATCCAACCAAAGGTTTCCAATCGGACAGGATCCGTATGGCACTCAGTGCTGACCTATGGGGCTGCAGATGGGTGCGGCCACACGTTCCTTGTTGTGTGGCAAGGGTCTCTGCTCTTCTTCATCGACTCATTGTCAAATGGACTGGACGGAGCTTCTCAGAGGGCTTTCATGATAGTGTGCAGAAGCTCTGACGATGTGAAGAGGTATCTTGACTATAGGTTCCGTGTGAGAAAGCGTTTCCCAGTGCATGAGCCAGAGGGAGAAGAGTTGGCAAAGCTCAAGGCACAGGCCGCCGCGGCGGCAGCGGCGGCAGCGGAGACAGAGAATGCAGATTTGCAATGGGGCAGTGGGCCCTATACAAAGTACCAGATCGAACTATCCTTCTTCAAGCTCAGAGCTTTGGGACCCGCAGAGAGAGGTCCTCGGAGACAGCGGCAGAGCATTGAAGCAGCAGAGCAGGAGAGGGACAAAGCAACAGAAGCTCAGCCCCAGAGCAACGCAGAAGATCCGACAATGCTTAGGAAGGAGATGCAGGAGAAGGACCGGGTAATGGTGAACCTTCTACAGTGCCACGACGAACTCCAAGCAAAGCTCAAGCAAGTATCTGACCAGCTCGCTGAGGAACAGAGGGGGGGCCAAGAGAGAATGCGGGTGGCGAAGGAAGCAGAAAAGAACTTGCAAGGGCAGATCCAATCCCAGAACACAGAGCTTGGAAAGGCTCTTGATAGGGCAAAGGAAAAGGCGAGGGAATGGAGGGACGCACAGAAACAGTTATCGTCAAACCGAGGACTTTTGAAACAAAGAGATACGGAGGTCAAGAACCTCAAAGAGAGATTGAAAGCAGCAGAGCAGCAGCAGAGCGGGAATCTGGGGAAGGGGGCCAAAGATGCGGGCGTCGCCGCCGCTCATGAGAGGGAACTGGAAGAAATCAAGAAGCTTCTTAAGGAGAAGGAGGCCACGATTAAGTCATTGCTAGGCAAGCAGGACCAGAGGGCTGGAGAGGTCGCAGATCTACGGAAGGAACGGGATGGACTTCTAAAACAAGTCACGAGCCAGTCCGACAAAGCAAGACAGGCCATCGAGACGGAGAAGCAAGCGGCCGAGACTGAGGCCGCGAAACGACAAAAGCCGGAGCTCGAACTATGGGATGTCAAGCAGCAGCTGAACAAGTTGCGGGATCAAGAGAAAGGGTGGACTAACGAAACGGTTGGGCTCCAGAAAAAGCTGGAGGATGCAAAAAATGCAGCAGCAAAAGAAGCAAAGGGTCGAGCGGATGTGGAAGAAGACCTTAAGGAGCGCTTGCGGGCTTCTGAAAAGCTGGTCGATGAGCTCCAGGATAGAGTGAAGGACCGTCTGAGAAGAACGGGGTCGCTGCGGCAGCCGGGGAAGTGGAGGGGCAGAGAAAGAAAAGGGAAGAGCTCCGGGCGCAGGAGGAGCAGAAATGGTCCCAGAAAATGGCTGAGCTTCAGCAGAAATATAGTGCGGCCACGGAGAGAGAGAGGCTGGCGATTGAACGGGAGAAGACATTACAGGGGCAGCTGCGCGACTTGAAAGAAAGTAGGGTAGCGGAGCTTGAAAAGTTAAGGGGGGAGATCGAGGCCGAGCTTGCGTCGGGCGTGGAGACTATAGACAGGATCGCTGAAGCGAAGGTGAAGGCCGTCGAGAAAAAGCTGGCCAAGTTTCAAGCAGACTTATCAAACTCCACAGCCTCGCTTCGGAGGCTATCTGTGGGTGACAAATATCAACGAGAGCAGGTGAGCATGCGTGGCAAAACAACTTTGACTTTGCAATGCCCGTGTACGCTCCGATTTCACGGAACAGTAGAACTTCCGTTTTTTCCACTTTAGTACTTGGTAATTGCTCGCAGGTCTAGCAACAGCCCATCCTAACCGCTCTGGCTTGTTGCTGTCTCGTGTTGCTACATAAATGACCGGCCAACTGAACACCACTGGCTGTTGTGTTGTGCAGCTCTCAAGCGGAAACCCCAGAATCCTGCGGTTGTTATCGACGCGTGCAGCCATCTGATAGTGGATTCTGGGATGCTAAAGGAGAACCAGGATGCCATCCAAGAGAAACTGGAAACAGTTCTAGGAGGAAGGGATCCGGGAAACAAGAATGTAGCCAACGATGTCCGCAAGTATCTGACCTACTTCCTCCGGGGTTTTGTGCCTGTGCTGCTGGATGACAAAGAGGAGTTGACTGGGCGGGTACTAAGCAACCCTAAACCCGTTTCCAGCCCTAAGATAGGGGCTCGTCTGAAGAAGCGGAAGAAGATAGTGGGGGTGGAAAAGGCGGTTGGTGTGGATGAGGGAATGCTGGGAGGGAGCACTCAGCCTCCGGCAGAGAGTGTTGAGAAGGACAGAGAAATTGCAGCGGCAAAGTTGGAGGCCGACACACTAAAACAACAGCTCGAGGAAAGCAACGGGGGGTTGCAGAATCGTGAGGAAACTGTCAAGAAGCTGAGCCAAAAGGTCAAGAGGTTGAAGAAGGAGCTTGAGGAGAAGGAAACGGTGAGGAGAGAGAGCCTGTCCCTGGCCCTTAGCCGTTGTTCGCTGAAATATTGCTTGGTGAAGCCCATCCTTCCTTGAACCACTGTCTTGAAGCTGCGGATTGCTTGGTGCTTGGAGAATGCCCCCTTGCAGTTCCAGGTGAAGGCTGTCAGGGTATCTTGACGGTTTGCTTGGTGCTTGTAGGAAGCCGCCCCCTTGCAGTTCCAGGTGAAGGAGTTGGACGCTTTTGTGAAAGCGTACAAGAGGGACATTGACCGGCTGAAGGAAGAGCTCAGCACCGAGAAGCTGAGGAACGTCAAGATTGGGGTGAGTAATCACCACGTTCACCGGCCATTCAAAGACTGAGCTTGCACCTTCACTTGGTTCATTGTCCTGAGGAATCTCCAAGGGGCTGCAGCAGTTCTGAGACTGGGTTCTGACCATGGATTGCAAGGGCGGCTGGATAGGTACTGATCACTACACTCCGTGTCCTGCAGCTGGATCTTGGCCACGGTCAGAGGCCTTATGTGCGGGCGCTCGACTTTGCCATCCGTGCGGCTGTCTTGGCTGTGTCCGTTGAGGGTACTGCTGGCAGGCTTCTGTACCGCCCTGGTTATACCCTCCTCACATATGCCCTGAAGCTCGGGCTGCTGAGGAAAGTAGATATAGACGTGCTGCACGCCTGGCAGGATTGGGACTGGGACGTGAAGCAGGTAGGGCAGATGTGCGGGAAAGACAGCACGAAGGATGAGAAAGTCGATGCCAAGTTTGTGATGGGTGCTCTCTTGGGTCGGCACCCTCTTCGGGGCACCGACCACCCTGTGCTCAGCAAGGAAGAAGCAGAGAGCATGGAGAAGCAGCTGCAGGATCTGGAGGAGCTGCAAGGGCAGAAGAACTACCCCAGGTCGAGCCTCTACAACGGCTTTCTGGCCTGGGTCACGCGGTCGCTAGAGGAATACGGGCTCTGGAACGACGAGGTAAGCCAACTCTGTTGAAACGCACCTTGATGAGTGTCCACTAACAAAGGCAAGGCAGTTGTGTCTTTGTTTGAGAAGCTTTTATTATAAGAGTACGAATCAGTCGCCTAATAGTCGATGTGATTCAGCCGCAAGTGTCATGACCACGAGTTTCTCATGTCTCCAGCGGAGTTACAAGAAGCGGCAGGAGTCATCAGCAGGCATCCAGAACGAGACCGAGGAGTGGTACATGCTGTGCAAGGACTCGTACTTGAAGTCTGTCACCTTGAAAGTAGGGCAGGTTGAAAGTGTCAAGAGGGGTGGGTATACGATACCCATGGCAGCGTGTGCATACTCTACAGTGCGGCCTAGAATTGTTGAAGTCTTAGACGTATAGTGTCTGAAAGTGCACACGTGGGCACACGGCTCTGAACACGAGACGATTGTTGTGTAGATTGTACCCAGATGATGCTTCGTTCAAGACCTCCTTGATGTGAATAATGCCCTCGAAGCCTCACTCTTGCCCACTCTCACTTTCGGTCCCTCTGGATCTTCCACAGGGTAACAGGATGCAATTTTGACAGTGCGTCTTTGCATATGTCAAAAATTCGAAACTGAATGTCAGCCCAATCATGCTTCGGGTAGTATTGGTTGACAGGACCCGCAGCACGACACTTGCACATGAGTCTGCATTTGCTGGAGTCTCTGCTGTGAACGTAGTGCATGGGAGTATTAATCTCCCTTCAATAAGCGGTTCGGATGTAGCCGTAGCTACACCGGGCAATTGTTATTACAGTTTTCGTTGAAAGTGTCGCAGGTTGCGTGTAACGCTCGATTTTGATCAGGTGCGTTTGCTGCGTTTAAATGACCCAACTTTTTCCTAGGGAGATGGTATGCTAACAGCCAATGTTGCATCACTGGGCTTCAATGACCTTGGAGCGGTATACATGCGTGGTACACGGGAACTGCAGTCGGCTGGTCGAATCGCATGAATCTCATAAACAACGGGAATCTAAGTGCCACCGTGGCTCCGTTGAAAGAAACCGTCGGGCCGAATCTTACCACATTTGTTTTCCCCGGGCACTAATAGCCCTTCACAGCATTATAACGGGTGCCCGGTGCAGTCACGGTACCATCCAAGCAGCCTAGGACAAGTGAAAAGGGGTGAACTTGAAAGGAGCAAGATTAGATTATTTCACCATGTCTGCTCCTTTGAAGGATGCTTGCGGACATCCCACAGCAGCGCCAATAAAGGTGACAAGAAAGGACTTAACCGAATACGTCGACCAGGTCAACGTACTCTTGCAGCAGGGGCAAGTGCCAGATGTTGACGCAGAGTACGACTGGCATGTATACACTGTCAGAAGCCAGACGTTTGCTGCTCATGAGAGTGTAGTTGTCACGCATGACAAGAAACACTACACGTCCCTTGAGCTTGGTTTTGGTGGGAGCAGTCAACGTATGTTTGTGCGCCCTGTAGTGCAGGGATACTTGGACGACGTTGGGAAGTTGAGAGAGCGAGGCATCAAAAGAGCAAGTTTTCGAATCCTGCACTGTGTGCAGATAAAGGTATGTTTTCTGTTTCATCTGGAAGATTGGCATCAATAACCACTAAGCTTTGAGGCGTTTGATGGAGTTCTGTTTGCATGCACTGCCGCAACATTTACTTTGCTCTTCTAACATTTCTGTAACGTGTCCAGGTTCTTGTGGAGTTAGGAGACTATACGGCAATCCACAACAACTGCCAGAAGTTTTGCACTCTTTTGCTGGCAGAGCTAGGTCTCGCTCGAGGGGACCTTTTGGAAGAGGATTCGAATAAGGCGCTTGCTGCAACCGTTACTGTTCTTGCGGTAGTTGGCATAATTCTGGCATTTGAGTATCAGAAAAAATCCTAGGTACTACTCATATTAGATCGAATGGGCTACAATATTGATGTGGCAGTGCAAATGTTGCCGAATGGAAAAGTACGAGCGCAGCAGCTGGAATTTAGTGAACAGCCGAATGTGGAGCGTCTTCTATCTCGGCTTTTTGGGGCCAGAGGGGGATACCAGCAGGACTTTAGGGTTTTGAACGGTGTCGTGGAGTTGCCTCCTGCTTGTTTGCTTGACAACAGGATGTACGTGTTGGTTGTGCGGAAAAAATAAGTGGGCGTTAAACCTTTTAAAGTGGCTTGCTCCTTGGACCCTTGCTCTCAGCGTGCCCCGTCACACACGGTATAGAGACCTTCATCCAAAGGCACCATGTCAGTCCCTCCGATGGGACCTCAGTGAATCAGTTCGCGGGGTGTTCCGCAGGTGTACTCGTTATGGGCCGAAGGTCTATGGCATAGCTGAGGAATCACAGCAAGTGTTGTCCTAAATTCAACAGTTTCTTCTGGTACCAGGCCTGCCTGGCGGCT